TCCCTCTCCCTTCCTCTCTGAAATTAATAAAAATATATTTAAAAAACAAAAAAAACAAACAAAGTGAAGGCAAGAATCTCCACAAGCAAAAAGATTACAACTTGCTTTATTGCAGTGGTCTGAAGCTGAACCTGCAATTTCTCCAAGATATGCCTGTAGTCTTTGTCTTCAACTCAGCATGTCTAAAATGAAATTAAGATTCACCACCCACTGACTAACTATATTATGGTATAGTCCCCAAGGTAAGTAAAGGATGATATGATGGGGAAAGCAATTAATTTAGTGCTACCCAGGTTAAAAATAATTGGTAACTACCTATCTATATATATAAAAGCCTAAGTGACTGTCTGACCATCCAACCAGTAGCTATGATGTGCAATGACCATTAGAGGGCAGACACTCAATGCAGGAACTGCAGTTCTTAGTGATGCACCCAGAACCCGGGGTGTGTCACCTGAGAACTGCCCTCTCACAATCCAGGACCCCTTAGGGCAGGGGTCCTCAAACTTTTTAAAGTGGGGGCCAGATCACGGTCCCTCAGAGAGCTGGAGGGCCGGACCATATGAACTACTAATTCCTACTGTAACACCTCGGCTGCGCTCACTGCCCAAAAAACCTGGCGGGCCAGATCAGACTCCTCTGTGGGCCGCATGTGGCCCGCGGGCCATAGTTTGAAGATGCCTGTGGGATTTCGGAGAGCTGGTTTCAGACCAATTCCCACAGGCCAGGCTGAGGGACCCCACAGTGCACAAATCCATGCAGCAGGCCTCTAGGATGATTATAATGCCTAGAGCAGGGATCAGCAAACTTTTATGAAAACGGCTAGATAGAAAATATTATCAGCTTCATTGGCCATATAGTTTCTGTTGCAAATATTCAATTCTGCCTTTGTAGTACAAAAGCAGCCACAGGTAATTGGTAAACAAATGAGCATAAATTAATTAATATAAACAAATTAGTATAAATGAGCATAAATGAATGACTATAAATGAATGAGCATGGCTGTCTCAAAAAAAAACCCTCTACTTGTGGGCACTAAAACTTGAATTTCATATAATCTTAATGTGACACAAAGCTTTATTCATCTCTTCCCCCGGCCCACCAACTATTTAAGATTATAAATGTCATACTTGGTTTGTGGATCATGCAAAATTAGGTGGCGAGCCAGATTTGGCCAATGGTCACAGCCTAGTCTGACTTGGAGCATCCCAGGAAGAACCAGCAGACATTGGTTAACAGTGACCTCCAAGGAGAGTAACTTTCCACTGAATACCATTCTGTATCATTTGAATATTGTAATCCATGCACGTTTAAAACATTTCATCATCATCAGGCTCCCCATCTATGTTCTCCGACTTCTATCAATGTCTACATTTACCGTCTCACACAATCAGGCTTCTAACTGCCAGGTCAACTCTGACTCGCTCTCTCCCAACCCAGACTCTCACCCCAACAGTAATCAGTGTCCAAAACCCACTGGGGAGTCCCGTTCACCAAAGGACCTCAGCCCACTCCTCCCTAGTCCTCTCCCTACCATTGTCTGTGGCTCCTATCATTGTCTCTACCACTCACTGTCACCCTATACAGCCTTGCACACTTAACCAACTTTTTACTTGGGTAAAGCTTATTTCCAAATAGGAAACAGAAGCTTCTTAAGGACTGGGACTATGTATTGCCTCCCGGCTCAGCTCCTCCACCAGTGCCTTGCACCTGGTGAGAATCCTGTCAACAGTTGCCTGATTGCTATCTCCCATCCTGTCGGTGATGGTTTGGAATACAGGGAAAGATCCATCTGGAATAGAAGCCAGTCTGAGACATGCAGCAGGGCAAGAGTGCACAGGAGTGCAAGGCCTTGGATCGCAGGAACAAGCATTTAGGGCACATGTGTCAAACACAAGGCCCGCGGGCCAAATCCGTCCCGCCAGGCCTTGCAATGTGGCCCGCACCGCGCTGTCATCACTGCACTCCGCTGCGTTTCCATCACAATGACAGTTTATGACTGTTCAGTAAACCATTCGGCCCGCGATTTAGGCTGGATTTTAGATTTTGGCCCCTTCTCTGATTGAGTTCGACACCCCTAATTTAGGGAGAGGAAAGATGTCAGAGTCAAGCTCTGCTCCAAAAAAGGGGGCTGTGCTTTGGAGAAGGAAATCGGGAGGCCCCTGGGTATTTCCCCCTAATTCCAATCTCTGGAATATTAGCCTAGAACAGTCAACAGAGCCAAATATCAACAGTACAATGATTGAAATTTCTTTTATATATATATATATATTGATTTTTTTACAGAGAGAAAGGGAGAGAGATAGAGAGTTACATCTATCAGCTGCCTCCTGCACACCCCCTACTGGGAATGCACCTGCAACCAAGGTACATGTCCTTGACCAGAATCGAACCTGGGACCCTTCAGTCCACAGGCCGATGCTCTATCCACTGAGCAAAACCAGTCACGGCTGAAATTTCTTTGGAAAGCCAAATTTTTTACACTTAAACTTCTTCTAATATCACTTCTTCAAGATAGACTCGCCCAGGCTGTGGCATTTTTGTGGAAGAGCCACGCTCACGGGGTCAAAGAGCCGCATGTGGCTCTCAAGCAGCAGTTTGCCGACCACGGGCCTAGAGTGATAGGGAAGTGTTGGTGGTCCCCGAACCAGATCACATGCTGGTGCAGGAAAAGCTCTGCCCAGCATCCAGGCCTGAGCTGCCGCCTGAACCCTGCAGAGACCAGGCGCCCATTCCTTCCCAGGCAGCCTGTCCGCGGCAGAGTGCTGTGAGCATGGTTTTCTGCTTCCACCATGCTTCCTGTTCTGGAGCTAACCAGAAAAAGACTTCCTGAATGGGTAACTAAACACTAATGATAGCTACCAAATATAATAGCGTTTTCAAATATTTCTTCCTCTCGAGATGCTCAGAGGGGGTTTTTAAAGACACAAAAGTGTCGACTCGTTGGGACTGGAAATACCTTTGCTCCCAGTGCTTATAGAATAAAACTGAATATAGTCATTTTTTCCTGCTTCCCAGCATGAATTCAGGTTATGCTATAAAAGTAATTGCCTGCTTTCTTTATAGGAAAAAAAAAAAAAACAACTTCACAATCACCTGTGGCAAAAATGGGTCTTAAAAATCCCATTGTATACCACAGGGAACTTGTGATTAGAGGGTTCGCTAATTTACACCAAGCCACACAGGGGTAAAGTCAACATTCAAAACTAGGTCTGGCCGAAACCGGTTTGGCTCAGTGGTAGAGCATCAGTCTGCGGACTGAAAGGTCCCAGGTTCGATTCTGGTCAAGGGCATGTACCTGAGTTGCAGGCACATCCCCAGTAGGAGGTGTGCAAGAGGCAGCTGGTCGATGTTTCTCTCATCGACGTTTCTAGCTTTCTATATCTCTCCCTTCCTCTCTGTAAAAAATTAATAAAATATATTAATACAAACAAACAAACAAAACCACTAGGTCTGCCCAGCTTCAAAATGCAGTCTTTTTCTTACAACCCAGACTTTCATGACAGTAGATCATCAACCTCCCGCTGTCTCTGAAATCCACAGGAATGATTCTTTCTATTGTTTCCATCAGAAGCAGAAGCGATGGACAGTCTACAGCCAGTGCTCACCTTGCCTGCACCCCCTCACATGCCTGTCCTCTGGATGTACTCGGGCCTTCCCGGGACGGAGAAAAGGAAAGCAAAGATGACCCAAGCCAGGATGCTGGCGCCCCAGCGACGTTCAAGGGCACGGCGGCCTCTCCCTGGCTACCCCGCGGTGCCCAGTCTGGTGCTGGCCCGGCCTTCGCAGGGGCTGGCTCCGGCCTCCCCACGGGGCTTGGTGGTTGGACGCCCATGAAGTCTGGCATTGTTTGGGCAGCACAAACACAACGTTTGCCTGGGCCCTGGCGCCTTTCTTTGGGTAAATATTTGCCTGGCTCACCCAGGAGAGGGCCGGGGCCTCTTTGCCCCACATCCCCACCACCCAGTTCTAGGAAGATGAGTTGGGTGGCACAGAATAACCGCAGTGCTTACACCCAGCCGGCCCGGTCCCCTGCATCGGCGCCCTCTCGCATAGCCTCAGAGCAGCTCCGAAACATGTGCAGCTTGGCCCCCGGCCCGTGACCAAAACTGAGCTTCCAATCTCAGAAGGGTGCCTGACCGTACGGAGACGGGGTTCACCAGGCTCAGTGATGCACCCTCCGTGCCATCAGCGGGATTTCCACCTGGCTCTCTCCAACCGACCACAGGGGCCCGGGAAAACACCCGGCTGCTCCATCTCAGGGCACCTGCCCCCAGAAGCACGCGCGCTCCTGAGCTCGTCTGGCCCGCGGGGATGGCTGGACACCAGGGGTGACCCTGCCCATTTTTCAAGAGGGCAAACCACAGCCAGGAGTTTGGAGCTCACACACACAGGATGTTAATACGGGAGACAACAGCAGACCCCAGGCTCCCTGCCTCTTCTTAGTCTCACAGAGAAACACGCCCTCTCTTCAATAGCCTATACTCTGTGCTGGCCCACGGACACCCCACGATGCTCAGCCTCCACTGCCCCCATTCCCCAGGCGCTACCCTTAAGGCCTTCACCCCGCACGCTGAGGCCCCCCACCCTCCCGTCTGCCATCTCCGTGGGAGACGCGGCCATTAGCAGAGAGCACTGTGTAGGTGTCTAATGAAACCATCAGCAGCAAACGCAGAACCCCGTACAAGCTACCCCGCAGCATCCACTGGGGATCCTCTTACAGGCAGCTCCCTCCCCCGAGCTTCCTGGAAAGGTCCCCATTGTTTGCCCAGAACACAGAAAAGTGTCTGACTCTGCCCTCCCACTTATCAGCTGGCACAGACTTCCCTGCCTCGCCACAACCCCAGGGGGCGCCACTCCCAAGGAGCTCAGTGTGAATGGTGTCCCCAGAATTGTGGGTCACAGCAGCCCCGGGGGGGTGGGGGGAGGGAAAGTCAAGGTCCCCCAGATGGGAGGCACAGGGCATTCTGAGAGGATGTCCACCTACCTGGCCTCCTTAGGAGTCCCAGAGCCATATCCCGCCACGCTGGCATTTCGGGGTCGGGGCACGGGTAACCAGGGGCCCCTGAGAAGGCTGGTAGGAGGTGGCAGAGGTGGCGGTGGACAGCATGAGTGGCTCGGCACCCCTCCCACCTGTGTTTCTGAGTCCTCTCTGGGCTGCACTGTAGCTCACCTGTTCCTGTTTCACCCTTTAAATGGAATGTTCCACTCGCCCTGGAAGCCCAGGGGGAGAAAAAACGATCTGTTGAAGAAAAGCTTTCCTTTTCAGAGGCTGGCATCCCTGGGATTCCCTCGGGTGCTGCTGCGGACGACAGGTGGGGGAAAGGGGCCAAGAGCAACAGCTGAGGGGGACCCTCGGAGGACAGGGCAGACTGGGACTGATGCCCACTCCCCCTCTCCTGGGGATGGTCTGAGCGGGAGCCTGGAAGGGAACAGACACCTGTGCCTCCGTGGCTCCTGGCAGGTCCCCTCTCGGGTATCAGATGGGCACCTCCACAAGCTGGGGTGAGAAACAGTGAGACCCCCCCTTCACCTGTCTCCTGTGCCCCTTTGAATATCTTATCTTTCTTCTCCCGAGCCCTTATCTCTGACTCAGAGACCTTTATCAGCCCCTTCACAATGAAGCGGGAGGCCAGAGATGCCCGCGTAGATACCACGGGCTTCTCAAAGACACAGTGTGATGCCAGCGATGGTGAGGGGGAGGAGAACAGCACCTCAGGAAAACCCAGGCCTTCTCACCCCACAGGGGCCCAGATTACCCCGAACCCACACCCCGCTATCAGTGCGGGGGTGGGCGCCTCTATCAGTGCAGGCCCTCCGTGCCCGCACGTGCTCCGGGCCCTGCCCGCCTGCCCTGGAACTCTAACACACTCCTATCCCACCAGATATGTGGGTTCTCGCCAACAGAAACGGGAAAACGACATTTCTTTCCAGCCCCTGGGCCCCGGCCAGCTGTTTTCCAACTCCAGTGAGACAAACTGGACTTTGATTACAGCAGAAAAGATTCAGGTGAGACACCAAGAAGCACTTGGAATAATGATAAGAGGAGGTTTAGGACGGTGCATGGCACTTTGGGTTTACAGCCAACTGCCCCTGTGTAAGGTGTGGTCCCCGGCCAACGTGCTATTCTCTAGCTCAGAAATTTCCAGGGCTTGCGCCTCTCCTGCCTGATTCACACGGGCCTCCCTCGCTCCCTGTCTCGGTGCCCAAGGCCGCGTCCCCATTCATCATTCAATGCCATAGTCACTGCTCAGTCTGACCCGGCCAGAGCCTCTCAGTGTTTCCACAGAGGCCTCAGCATCTCAGCTGCGGCCATGCCAACCCCGCCCTCTCCCCAAACGTCCCTCTTTTCTCTCCAGCCACCAGAGCGAGACAACCTTGAAGGCAGCAGATCTCGCGTGAAGATATGGGTGTGAGTGGTTCATGTATTCCAGATATTTCCTGAGCATCCACAGTGCCAGAGGCGGTGGCCCTGCAACTCGAGGAGCCCGATCCTGTTCCTGGACACCCCAAAACCAAGCCCGCCCACCCATCGCCCTCAGAGGCAGCCCACACCGGGAGGTCGGGGTTCAAGGGGGCATGTGGAATGACGGAGTTGGGAGATAACGGAAGGGTGGGTGGGCGCTCCAGGTAGGGCGACACAGGTGGGAGAACATTGGCCCTTGGCCAGGAGAGGGGTCATGCCGGAGGTGAGAATCACCCCCATTTCTTGTGTGTTCACACTGTGCACTGTGGGGACCCCTCTGTACTTAGGGTCTTGCTTATTCCTCGTCACTCCCTGAAGCTGGAGGAGTGCATGGGTCAGGCTGTGGGGTCCCCGCAGGCATGATGAGGCTCCTGCTCAGTAAATACTGTCCAACGATCAATAGATAAGATGACCTTTGGAGGCTGACCCCCAGCGGGAAGCAGCCGGGGACAGCTACAGGCCTGGAACACACACCCCACCTTTGTAAACAATTCAAGGCAGCACCAGGCCTGAGCAGGGAGCGGAGGCACTGGCTGGTGGGCGCCCGGCTTTCCTGGCAGGATGGGAAGTGGGTGTTGGAGCACACCCTGTCCCTGCGAGAAATCCAGGGGGACTGGGAGACAGCTGCAGGGAAGACAGCTGGAGGTCACTCAGAATGGACCACAGGAGGGACCTTCCCAATGGGCCAGCCTAGCGTACGCAGCCTCCCAGCAGCCCCTTGTCCCAAATGGGTGTGGGGGCTGTGGGCAGGGTCTCTCCGCGTGTGTGTGGGGGGCAGGTTCTCTCCATATGTGGGGGCTGTGGGCAGGGTCCCTCTGCATGTGGGGACCAGGTACCAAGAGATAATGGTCACCTCCAGCCGATGGACTTGCACCATGGCCTCTGTTGGGCTAAGTCTAAGGGGGACGCGTGGACACAGGCTGCCCCCCACCCTGGCCCGGCCTTGTGAGGGGTGGGCTTTCAGCTGCCGAGAAGGCCAGGCAGTCCCCGGGACTCCAGACTCTGCTGCTCCGTCGTCCCCCCTTCTCCCCTGTCTCACCTCCGGAAAGTGAGCAGGGCCAGTGCCCCCTCGCGCCCAGCCCTGCCCCTGGACCCACCCCTCCTGCCTCGGGGTCCTCACCTCCTGCCGCCTGCTAAATGGAAGCTCATTCTCACCCTGGACACTGGGGATGGGTTTGGCAGGGTGAGGGCTTGCGGCTGGACACCCCACACTGGACTCCCCACCCGGAGGTGGGGTGGACTTCGGGGAGTGCTGCTCAGGTGATGCCAACAGAAACCTCCTCCAGGATTCACCTCAAACACAAGCTCTGGTCCCTCCCTGAGGCGCCGAGAGGGGGAGGGGGGCGGCTTCCAGAGGGAGGGGCCCCAAGCAGGCTTGGCCGCTGCCTGACTCGGGAGAACTGGAAACCAAGACTTAACAAGCTGGCTTCTCCCTGGAATTTCCCGGCGGGGGTGAGGGGGGGTGGGTGGTGGATGGAGACTGAACCAGAGAGGCCCCCACCGCTCCTCCTCCTTTCTGGAAAGTGCTAGGCCCCACCCTCCCCACATGGGCCTTGCTTGTGAAGACCTACTATAGGCAGGCATGCTGGCCCTGGGCAACCTCTTGGAACTGGACCCCTGGAATAGGGGGATGGGATGGGAAGCAGAGAGGGTCTTGGCCTTCTCTTTAAAACCCAGAATAATGCCACCACACTGCAAATCCTGCCTCATCTCTTTTGAAAAACAAATTCTCGAGCCAAATCTGGCCCATGCCAGGCAGTCAAGCACCTGGAAGTGAAGCAGGAAGCAATTCCAGGAGATCTTGTGGCTTCTCCTTTGTGCCAAAGAACTGGGGGCGGAGGGAGGGGGACGGGGGGGGGGGGGGGGGAGAAGGAGAGAAGCTGGGGGAGGGGCCTGGGCTCAGACACCTGGGCTCTCAGATTGGACAAGGCAGCTATTGCAAGGCAGAGTGCGGGAGAGCGTTAGCCAGGGGCCAAGCTGCTCAGATGACCCCTGAGAGCACCTACAGGACAACAGAGCCAAGCACCAGGGGCAGATGGACACCAGGGGCAGATGGACAGGACGGTCCATTACATAAGGCCACTCGGTCAAAGCCAAGGGCCCTGGGCTCCCATTCTGACCCTGCAGCCAATGTGCTGTGAGCCCTCAGGCAGGCCACCGCCTCTCTGATCCTCAGGCAGCTCCCCTGCACGGGGCCTTAAGGAGGGGCCAAGGGGAGCGGCAGTAAGCTGTCCCTGCCTGCTGAAACCCTCAGGGGTCCTGTCCTTTCTCCAGGGTAAGGCTGCCTGCCTGCTTTCCAGCCCCCTCCCCTGAAAGCCCTGACCGGTTCCCCGAACCCCAGCCCCTGGTCAGGGGATGCACTTCCGGTCCCCATGCCTGCTGCGTCTCAACCTCTGGGCACTCTGCTCCTTCTGTGGAGCTGCATCCCCCCACCCCTCCCTCACCCTTCAAGGCTCAGCGCAGACCTGCTCCCACAGCTGCTCCCAACCTCCTCCCAGACCTGAGGTCCTCCCTAAGCTCTGCCACATGCTGTGTGACCTCGGGCAAGTTTCCCAACCTCTCTGGACACCACTCATCTCATCTACAAAGGCTTTCATCAGAGAGTTCATCTAAAGATGGAGAAACAGCGCGTCTGAAGCCCGGACAAGAGTGCCTACACAGAAGCATTTTCCCTCTGTTTCCACAGCACCTGCCCATCTCATCTTATTTTTCTTTTCTTTTTTTAAATATATTTTATTGATTTTTTTTACAGAGGGGAAGAGAGAGGGATAGAGAGCTAGAAACATCGATGAGAGAGAAACATCAATGAGCTGCCTCTTGCACACCCTCTACTGGGGATGTGCCTGCAACCAAGGTACATGCCCTTGACCAGAATCAAACCCGGGACCCTTCAGTCTGCAGGCTGACGCTCTATCCACTGAGCCAATCCGGTTTCGGCTCATCTTATTTTTCTTAATTCTTTGTCTACAAGTCTGTGTCCCCTGCCAGACAGTGAACTTAAAGGACCATGTCAAATTCCTCTTTCACTCAACAAATACTTAGTAAAAGTCTGCTCTGTGCCAGGCACTGTTAGGTGCCAGGCTGCCAAGGGGAGAAAGACAGTCTCGTGGTTTGGTGTCCTTCGTGCTCAGATGGGCACCGAGGGCCCCGCTGCTGCCGAGTCAGGAAAACCAGGCACCAGGAGCTGCCGTGGGCTCTGCATCGCAGGCCTTGCCTCCCCACTTTCGCAGGAGCTTAAAGGTCGGGGGGAGGAAGGAGCTGGAGACATAATCCGTGGCCTCGCCGTGTACTTTGCTATGTGCTATGTAGGCACTCTGGTCCGTACTTCGGACACGCTGCTTTTCTTTGTCCTGAGATGAACTCCCTGACGAAAGCCTTCGTAGATGAGAAGAGTGGTGTCCAGAGAGGTTGGGAAACCTGCCTGAGGTCACACAGCAGGTGGCAGAGCTTAGATAAGGCCTCAGGGCTGGCAATCTCCTGCCCTTAGTCTCATGCTGCCCAGTTCCAATACACTAACAGATGAGGCCTGTGTGCCTGGACTTTTTTATTAAAAAAAAAAAAAAAAAAAAAAAAAAAGGAAATAATGGCTTATTCATCTCAAGGCTCTGAACAGCGTGACTTTAATTCCAGCGGCCCGGGCAGCCTTCTGGACA